AATCCCAATCAAGCACTCTTTCCAATCCCTAGAGTCTGGTAAGGACAGGCTTTATGTGCTTCTAACAGCACTTTAAATACAGTCAAAAGTTTGAAGACAACCAAAAAGAAATAGTTTAAGAGCAAGCATTTGAATTTTATGGCAACAGGGATAATTTAAAGCTAGTTCTTTTTTCCTTGTTTTTCAAGTGACCTCTAGACCTAAGCAAAAAAGTAGTAAAAAGTAAGCCATAACTTTGAAACTTGCTCTTAGTAATTATTCCAAGTAAACTACTTTGTGGATCAATATTTTTTTTCAGCAAAAAAACATTTCAAACTTTCATATTTGTTCTTGGATTAATCGGCCAAAAGAGAGCTATTCAGAGTATTTCCACAGATGCCACAGATAACGTTTTCTTTTTATGGGCAACATTTCCATGGAAAATGCATCCCTTTCCTTCTAAAACTGTTTTCTTATTTGTCAGAAACAGAGGTCATGCTGCCTACTTATGAGACATAGCTTTGTTGTAAATTTCAGCTTCTTTCATCACTGTGTGTTTCTGGACACAGGTGTACGGAAGCAGATTAGGCCAGTTGTAAACCACCTGGATATTTTAAAATCTTGGTTGTATTTCATGCAGTGAAATAACTATAAATAACTATAAATAGTTATTCTTTTTTTTTTTTTTTTTGCAGTACGTGGGCCTCTCACTGTTGTGGCCTCTCCTGTTGCGGAGCACAGGCTCTGGATGCGCAGGCTCAGCGGCCATGGCTCATGGGCCCAGCCGCTCCGTGGCATGTGGGATCTTCCCGGACCAGGGCATGAGCCCATGTCCCCTGCATCGGCAGGCGGACTCTCAACCCCTGCGCCACCAGGGAAGCCCATAGTTATTCTTTTTGGTTTTGGATTCTATAGCGGTGTTCGCATTCCAATTTAGGCCTGAAAGTAAAGTTGTCCTCAGTTCGGTGTAGTGAGCTGTTCTTTCTTTTCCATTTATAATTGGTCCTTTCTGAAAGGTAAGAGGTCTGGGAAGATCACATTGTGGGAAGTAAAATAACTGGATAGAGATGAAGGAGTAGGCCTACGATTTCAGTGCATTAGCAAGATGACAGTTTGTTCCACAGAGTGCTTTTGAGAATCGGCTGTGTTCTGACTACTGTCCTAAGCCTTCCTCTTTCTCTCATGGATTGTTTTGTTCCGCGATGAGAAGCCCACAGTTAAGCCAGTGGAGATGTTGCAGCCACTGGGAGGAAACGGGATAGAAGAGGTGGCAGAGGAGAGCTCACAGGAGGAGGACCTTGGAGCTTAGTGGCTGGAGACGGTGTCCAACCAGGTAGCAGAGAAGTGGATGCCCTTCAGAGGGAGCTGGTCGGCCCCGTCAGAGGGTGGTTCTGCTGGGCTGGGCCGGGGTTACTTCTGGGAGAGAAAGTCAGGAAGAGTGTGACGAAAGAAACGGAAGAACAGCTTCAGGGCTAACAGCACATTTTGACTTCTGTAAGAAAGTTGCTTTGCTTGCTTGCTTCGGGCAGGAAGAACCGGGTTCCTGATTGGCTGATTCAAAATTAAACAGCTCCCTCCCGCCTTGGTGACTTCCCGTCCTGTGAAGGGTATAAAGGCCTCGCCCGACTGTTAGTTGGGGTCTCACTCACTTCTCTCCGAGTGGGACCCTGTCCGGACAGTTTGTGTAAGCTTCTATACTTGTACTTGTATAAATCCTTTGCTAATCTTTCTACTTGGTGTTGGTGATTCTCGGGTGTCCTTTGTTGGGACACGGGTCGCATTTACTGGGGAACTCGACTCCAGGTGTGTGGCTCCCAGACCGCAACAAGAGCAGGAAGGGACTTGAATACTCTTTCAAGGCTCATAGGTGACAGGGAACCAGTGATACATTTTGAGCAGAGAACACACCAGGTTGCTGCATGAGAGGCTCACTGCCGATTATGGAAACTGGGAATCTCTGTAAAGTCCCCGTCTGTGCTGAGGCTGCTCTGCTCGAGGATGGACATTGCACCTCATTCTGGGCTTTGACGTGTACTTTCAGGACGTGGGGTGCACGAACCTCACCTACCCAGACCTCCCCAGGTTTAATCGCTGGTAGAAAGTCAAAAGGTGTTCAGGAGTCAACTCTGCTTTGTCTATAAACAAAGAAATCGATTAGAAGAATCAGTGGTTGAAGGTTACCTTGCGGTGTCTACATTTCTTAAGAGAAGCTAATGTTGAAGTTCTTTAGAAAAAAGCATTTCTGCTCATTTGTTAATTTATATACTGCTTCTTTCCAAAGATTTGAGGTCATTGTTCACATGCAAATGGTCTATCATTTTTTCCTTTATTTTGAGGATAAGTGTTCCCAGCGATGTTTATTCAAAAGCATTTTGTAAATTACATGATATAAGTTCTAGAAAGTAATAAATCTCTATTCTTTCATAAACACTTATCATCCAGAATTTTAATTAATTGAAATGAGCCCCACTCCTAATCAGCCAGGTTTAAAATATCGTCTCCTTTACATTTTCTCAAGCCAAGATATTTCTTAAAATTGATGGATAAAATTTAATGTAGAGTTTGTTTCTGTATCTCTCCCAGAGTATAAGAATAGTGCATCTTATCTTTGATGGTGTATTCAATAAGGAGATTCCATCTTGGTGGCCTTGGTTCCCATGGATGCTGCTTGAACTATGAACAGACTTCTGAGATTTGTGCCAGTAAAAGAGATACTATAATTCATTGTGTACGTAAAGCATACATAGGACTTCTTACCAAGAAAATGTTCAATATAATTCACATATAGAAACACACAAAAAAGCCGATAGAAGAAGTTGTTTTGTGGGACTTCCCTGGAGGTCCAGTGATTAAGACTTCATGCTTCCACTGCAGGGGGCACGGGTTTGATCACTGGCCGGGAAGCTAAGATCCCACGGCTGTGCAGTGCAGCCAAAACAATAAAAAAATAAAATTAAAAATTAAAGAAACTACTTTATGAAAAAAAGAAGTTGTTTTGTTGCAGGGCTATGCTATAGGACATGTACTGATAGCAAATCAGAGGTTTAGCAGTCAGAGAATAGTTTTATAGACTTTAGTATATTAACATGATGTAATACAAGGCAGCCTTTAAAATTAATTTTTAAAAAACATACAAAAATGCCAGAGTTGGTAATATTATAATTTTAAGTGAAAGGATGAGAAAAATAATACACTTGAATGCAAGTATATAAAAATGCATTATCTGTGGTGGTAAAACTGTGCTTTTAAGACATTTCTTCATCTGGTTGCTGGTTTGACTTCACCATAAAAAAGGTGAACGATTAGCTCTATGTGTGCTGCTAGGAACATGTGCCTGGACAGTTGGCCTGGGCTCTCTCTGACAGACTGTCCTGTGAGCTCCCAGGCAAGTACTAACCTCCCACCTTGTTTCCTTAGTCTCACAACAAGCAGCAGTGAGAACGGTGACGTGGAGCTCACCCACGTACTTTTGCGGAAGTTTGGGGATCAGGACCCGCTCTGTGCTGACTTACACTCAGGCCTGTAAGTGTCTGATGCAGAAGTGCAGCCTCCAGCCAGCCGGCCCCAGGCTGGCAGGACTGGCTTCTCCAGGACTGTGTCGCCTGTTCTCACTGTAGGGCTGAGACTGAGCAGGCCTGAGGGGTGCTGCCGTCTAAAATGACCTGAAATAAGCTCCATCATCACCCCTTCCCTTCCTTGGTGAATACATGCTTTATATCATTGCAAAAAACATTAATTTATAATGAATAACATTCCCTTTGCTAACTAAAACCCCAAAAGAACAAAACTAAAAGAATAAGGTAGCAATTAAGTATGAAATATGTAGTAACTGTTGTTTACTTTTAGGGTAAACTTGTACCTATGAAAAGATTAATTGTACTTTTTTTAACTAAAGGGAGTGAAAAAGTCCGTAACATCAGTGTGGGTGTGAATTACTTTGAATACTCTTTTTTTCTAGGTTTTGAAAATGATAATATAGAGATGACCTTTCATGAAACCTTGATAAAACATGGCTTTCTTCATAAATATACCTTTCTTCTCTCTTTCTTATTTTGCTCGACTGTTATTTATTGAGGATAAATAACATGTTGTAGGAACCAGGATTGATAGAGCACATGGCCCCGCCTCAAGAATTTACAAATGGGGAAAGTGATAAAAACCATAATGATGTCTTAGGTACTAAAGTGTATGTTTTTCACAATAAATATAAAAATCCAGACAATAATACAATATTGGCATGTGTTCTCCTAATTTGTGATGACATTCTGTGCATGTCATGTTGGTGATTAGCACAAGACCGAGTAACTGTTAGCAGTCTCAGTGAGGAAGAATTAATAGAAAATTAATTATGCTGTTTCACTTTAGTTTTCTCTTGAAAAAGAAAGTAATTTTTTAAAACTAAATAAAAGCTTCCATAGTGATGCTTTTATTTCCCTTCTGTCCAAAGAAACACACAGGATGTAAAAAGCATCTACCTTTGAGAAATTGAAATGTAACCTGTGGCCCTGAAGGATGTAGTCTGGGCCCAACCTGGCAACAAGGAAAGAACAGTTGGCAGAAAAAAAAGGTATATATATATTTTATTGGAGTATAATTGCTTTACAATGTTGTGTTAGTTACTGCCAAACATTGAAGTAAATCAGCTATAAGTATACACATATCCCCTCCCTCTTGGACCTCCCTCCCCCTCCCATCCCACCCCACCCATCTAGGTCATCACAGAGCACTGAGCTGAGCTCCCCACCTTCCCCGCTGTGTCCGCACGTCCATTCTCTATGTCTGTGTCTCTACTCCTGCCTGGGGAAATAGGTTCATCTGTACTATTTTTCTAGATTCCACAAATATGCGTTAATATACAATATTTGTTTTTCTCTTTCTGACTTACTTCACTCTGTATGACAGACTCTAGGTCTATCCACATCTCTACAAATGATCCAATTTCACTCCTTTTCATGGCTGAGTAATGTTCCATTATATATATATATATATATATATATATATATATATATATATATATATATACACACACACACACATATATCTATATATGTATATATAGATATAGATTTTTTTAAAATTAGTAGTTAATACACAATTCCAATATTTTTGGAACAAAGTTGTAGAA